TTTAGGGTTTAAGGTTAAGGGTTTGTAAGCTCAAAGGCCCAGACTTGCCAGAAAAACACCTTGCTCCAAACCTAAACTAGTGCTGTTGCTTTAGCAAGCCTGCGACCCCAAACCCCTATCCCTTGCAGGAGCCCAAAACCCTTTAACGCGGAAGCCCAAAACCCTTTAACGCGAAAGTTGAGCCAGAAAGTCGTGAGCTCTATTGTCCATTGCGATTCGCCAACCCTTTCATCTGTATGACACTGACCAGACAGGGAAGGTGTTCGAACCAGCATGACTTGTGTTGCCGTCAGGGCTTTAGGTTCGTTCCAAGGATACTATATGTATTTCTTGAAGCAAACTCGGCTTCAGAAGAACCACTACGGCCCCGGGGTTTCAGGGTTAAGAGCTTTAACGTTTTGTGACGTGGTGTTTTGGGGTTGAGTGTGCAAGGTTCGGGATGTAGTGTGGAGCAGTCTAATTGTTCCAGCAGCCCTAACATAGGGGCCTAAATAATTACGTACCGTTTTTTTTTGGAGGGGGGGGGGCGCCTTGTTATAATTATAGTATACTATACCCCGAAACCCTATTCCAGTTCTTAAGGCCGACTTGAATCCCCGGCAAAGCTTATTGCACCGGGTTGTGTCTTGATTTACGTTGGGATTCCTTGAAACGTTGCTACAAGGGCGCTACAAGCTAAGGCTTTTTTGGTATTATGCGTCTTTTTAGGGCTAAGGGTTGGATGTCGAGTAGTATGTGGTTTCAGGCTTAATGTTTTGGGCTTACCACTTGATTAGAGAGTTACTACAAGAGCCAGGGTTTCGCAATGAACTTCCTGAACCTCAGGTTCGCGAGTATTGCACGGACTAGTGCAGGGGTCAAAAGAAGGAGTACGAAGGCACCCTGGCAGTCGTTAAACAACTTTACCCGCAGCAATTTAGCTGTTACAATCGGTAATCAAACAAAGGGCAAAACCAAACAATAAGTGTCAGAAACGAGTTCTACCCAAACAGAAGCCGTATAAAAGAAAACCGAAAGGAACCTTTGTGCAAGATCTCTAAACGGAACCCTTATCCAGAAACCCATATTAAAAAGAACAGGAGCCCTTAACAAGAACACTTGAATGAGAGCAACCCTGTTTATAACAGCCAGCTCTTGGAGCCCTTAAAATGGGAGGAGCCTTTTCGCATAGGAGCCTTTAGAGTCCGAAGAAGGACCCTCATGAAGGAGCCCTGTAAGGGAGCCCCCAAAACGGAAGCCTAGCAGGATGCCTCTGAAAGGAGCGCTAAACCCGAAGCCCGAAACCTTAAGCCCTAAAACCCTAAAGCCCTAAACCCCAAGCCTTAAAACCCTAAAGCCCTGAGCCTTAAAGCCCTACACCCTGAACCCTAAACCCAAAACCCAAAACCCTAGACCTTAAACCATAAACCCGAAACCCGAAACCTTAAGGAACCCTAACGGGCCTAACGGGGTCCCTCTTAAAGGAACCCCCCCCATGCCTGCACTTCCCGAGGCTTTGGCACACCTGGTTCGACCGACCTCTGGGATTCGCCGGAAAGGTTGGGTTGAAGCTTTACGGTTGAAGGGTTCAAGGTTTGGGGTTTAGGGTTTTAGGGTTTAGGGTTGAAGGTTTGGGGTTTAGGGTTTCGAGTTGAAGGTTTAGGGTTTAGGGGTTAATTACAGTAAGCATTTCCAGGTTTAGGGTTTAGTAGGGTTTAGGGATGTTTAAGGATTACCCTACTACCAGAAACCCTATAACTCCCCAAAGCCCATAACCTTTAAAACGTGACTCTAGGCTGGGTTGCGGGATTGAATTTTCGGGGTTTAGGGTTTAGAGGTTCAGGGTTCAGGGTTATAAAGGATCGCAAGATTCAAGGTTTAAGGGACCCTTGCCGGAACCCTTGTAGCAACCTTTATAGCACCCCTGATAGTAGCGCTGAAAAGGACATTTATCGCAACCCTAA